AGAGAGAGAGAGAGAGAGAGAGAGAGAGAGAGAGAGAGAGAGAGAGAGAGAGAGAGAGGCGGGGGGGGTCTATGAGGGCAATCGTCGTTTGAAGATCTTCCACTGAAAATGGAAGGGAAACAGTCAGGAGTCTTGCCAAACTTATGGAGAGCTGTGTGCTTGGAAGTCTTGCACACACAGTTTGGAGGGAGAGTTATTTACTATTATTATGGTCTCAATTAACCCAACTGCGATGTCAACTCATCACATCCTGGAGCTGGAGAAAACGTTATGTTTCGCGCAGTAAGGTTGACCAGCGGTAAGTATCCTGAGGATTCATGAGCCTGATAGGGGGTTGAGGAGAGGAGGATATTGTGAGGATTGAGGGGCCTTGCCATGATGTACATGTTCTGGGCTAAGGCCCCAGCAAGCCTCGTGCCCGCCCTAAGTGAAGGCGGGCCAGCATATCAACAAGAGCCCTCTGTGCCAACATTTCATGAAGTGGGGTCCATACAGTTGCAGCACGCCAGTTGGTTGGAGTGCACCGAGTCTCGGATTTCAGCAAATGCTGAAAACCCAGGGCCTCTGAGTTANGAAGTGGGGTCCATACAGTTGCAGCACGCCAGTTGGTTGGAGTGCACCGAGTCTCGGATTTCAGCAAATGCTGAAAACCCAGGGCCTCTGAGTTAGTTAGGCCCTGGGTACTTGAACGTGAGGCCGACAATGCATGCTGGGTATAGAGGCCGAAAATGCCAAAGGTAAATCGGCCCACTATCTGAATCTGGCCGCAGGCCTTGACGAAAGAGGTGCAACTGCATCCCCCGGGCCTCAACTGTATCGGGCCTGGGTTAAGCGACTGGGGCCCAGACGCAGGCTGAAGGGAGGCCGCCCACACGCAACACTGGCATATAGGCAAGCAGGGCGAGTGGGCAGGGATCTTGGCCATTGCGGGCAATGCCGGCACGCTGCGCTAATGCGAGCTGCTGCGCTGCGCTAAGACAGGGTGCAAGGCAGGCCTGCGCTAGGCGGTAGGGCGCTGCCTGTGCACAGGGCGCTGGGCGGCCATAGCCGGGCTGCAGAGGGCGCAGGGGAGGTGAGGGCGAAGGTGGTTCTTCGGAGGTGAAGGGCGCTGTGTGGGTACAAGGGAGAGTGTAGGTGAAGAGGACACGTACCTGGTGGAGGTGGAGGTCGGCATTGGTGTTGACATCATCACTCGCTGGTAGTCAAGTTGTCTGATTGCTTTCATTGCTGTAGTTGTAGGCTTAGTCTGTAGAGTAGATAGGGCGCCTGGCGCCATTCACAAGAGAGAGCTACATTTGGGTTATGCTGTTGGTGTTGCCCTGTTGGGCTTGGACATTGACTCACGATTCTTTTGTATCATTCTCAATTGGATGGTTACTCGGTTCCATTGTGCTATCTGCTCTGGCTTTGACTANCTGTTGGGCTTGGACATTGACTCACGATTCTTTTGTATCATTCTCAATTGGATGGTTACTCGGTTCCATTGTGCTATCTGCTCTGGCTTTGACTACTTGGACTTCAGTGTGATTTTGCATTCTGGATTTCTGTGCTTCGTCCATATTCATGTTCCTTGCAATTTGGTATCGGAGCTGGTTTGATCGCCGCTTACCTTTGGCACGCTGGCGTTATACAGACTTGGTGCGTTGACGATGCTTCTTCACAGTTGGTACTTGTGACGTCAGGGGTGCGCCGGAAGGCTAAGACGGCAGTGTATGCCGTGGTGACATGCGGAATGTATGATTGGTGATGAGAGCATGCTGATGTGGCATTCGGCTGAGGTGGCACTGCATTGTGTTGTGGGTGGTACCAAGGCCAAGACCGGTCATCAAATGCACACTCAGCTCAATTGGTGAGAAATCTGTGGTTGGGGGCAGCTATCTCCAGGTACGTTGTTCCCTTACCTTATCTACTCTCTCAATCTCTTCTTACCGTGAGGAAGTGAGTCCAACTTGAGAGTCCTCTCTTTTGGTGAGGTGTCGTGAGCGCGCTAACTTGAGAGACGACAATCTTCCCGGAAGCATCTGGAAGGAGAAAGGGCGGTGCCTCTGAAGGCCCTGGTCGAAGCACTGGGTCACGGTCACCATGCCAACCCAATGGGAGTAGGTCACGCATGCGATGGCTGCTGTCCATTTTGGCACTTGCTGCGCTAAATAGAAGTCTTGTCGGGTGTGCCAGCCCATGACAGACGCTTACCAGACCGTCTATAAACATTTCTGGTTGGGAGTTCATTGTGAATCTGGCTGTGATCGTCGTCCTGACTGCGACGTTAAATAATTCCTGCAGAGATGGGGGCGCTCTATAAATTCCTCCTGATCAGCCAGATCACATGGACAGGAAGGCTCGTCGCCGTATGAGGGTGAATAAGAGTGGTTGGGCTGGCTTGCTTGGTAACGACTTGGGCACAGGGGTGGGCCGAAATACACACGAAGACACTGCCTACTCAATGATGCTGTCCGGTATGTTGGATTGAGGGGAGGGTAGGTTCTAATTGGTGCTCAACTGAATACACAACCATACCCACTCATCATACATCTGCTACATTGTCTTTTTGTACTTTTGATTAGTTGGTGGACGGACTGCTAACCTCACAGACAGATTAGATTAGGACTGTTGTATGCTACCATAGCCAGTTCTGTCTAATGCTGCTGTAAGTGAACCAATCAGAGTACATCTAGGCTATGTGGACAATCTGTGTGAATGTTGTAGTTATGCCACTTGATCGGTACAGTAGGGGACTTGCCGGACACAACTATTGTTAGAAAATTAGGTGTCGGTCAGATACATGTTGTGGTAGGATTCCAATAGGGGATTCTAGTGCAGACACTATCTGCCTAACTAATGAGTGGGTCAGACCCTGTTGATGATAGAGCTGACAATAGGAGACTAACACGTGCAGAGGCACTAAGGGTACCGCACGTGTTCCAGACCCTACAACCGGGAGAAGAAAGACGGCTTATAGTCGAACGTAGAGCCCGTGCACTAGCAGCAGCTAGGGAACAGGTTGCCGCAACAACCAGGGCATTAGAGATGTCTTCTGCAGCAGCAACATCCTCGGTTGCGTCTTCATCTGCGACCAATGGGACCATGTTGGGAATGCCAACAAGTTCCACGGGCACTTCCAGTTTAATGGGTTTTCGACAGTCTACTAGTTAAATGGCGGGCTCGCAGTTCAGCCCGTTGACCCCACGTGAGAGGGAGCTCAGAGAGATCCAACAGGTCGAGAGGCTCCGCCAGAAGTTATAGGAGGACCTGAAAAAGGCAACCGATAGGGAAAGATAGATTAAAAATAGAGCAGCCAGGCTTAATACTTTAGAGGCTGACAAGGCTGAGTTAGAGGGCTTGGACGAGTCAGCATTGACTGACCAAATGAAAGTACTGAAGAAGAATATGTTGTCGCTGCATGCGCACGTGGACAACATATTAGACTTCATGCAAAACACTCTAGACCAGATCCTGGATGTATTGACAAGGCCAGGATACAGGCCACCAGCACAATCGCCGTTGCCGTTATCGGCGATGTCAGGCCCCTTTCCAGTTCAAGCTGGCACACAGCCAAGTGGTATGTCTGCAGCAGTCGCACAGACTGTTGCATCTTCTTCTTCGGGTCCAGTGGTGGGAGCTACACCACCGCAACAACCTGTTCCTCAACAGGGACAGCAGCAAGGTCAATGGTACCCCAAGACCCCAATGAAACCGCCTCTTGCCTTCTCAGGCGAGAGGAAGGACGAAGAACTCAACACATGGTTGAGGACAGTCCCGGTTTGGGTAAAGGCCAAGAGGACCTTGCTAGAGGACGAAGTGGTAACCGCTGCATCTTACCTCGAGGGTAAGGCAGACAAGTGGCTAGATGGGGTAGTTGTAATGGTCGGGTATGGGCGACGCATGGCGGACTGGGCTAAGTCTCTGACGTTAGACCAGTTCATGGAAATGGTAGAAGCTCGATGGCATAATCCACAGGAGGCACAAAGAGCCACTGATGCGATTAACAACCTGGCCGAACGAAAGTTCAAGTCGGTCAAAGTGCTTACGACTACCGTTGAGAGCCTGATCCTCGTCCCAGGCATCAACTATAGTGACCAGTTCCTGTTAACTACGTTTGTTAGATGTTTACCAGAGAACATCAGGAACTTACTGGCCAGCGAGGCACGCATTGAGTACCATTCGTTTGAGACACTGTCTAGGAAATCCTTAGATTTGGAGGCCACGCTAGGCAATGCTCAACCAACCTCTCAGATTGACACGAGGAAGAAGAAGAATCCTCAGGAGTGGAAGAAGAAGGGGGCTAAGTTGATGATGGTTGAGTCCGATGGGACTCGAATGGAGATCGACGAGCTCACTGACCTGATGGACTATACAGAGTTTGACGACGAGGAGGTAGCTGAGGGTAGCACCCTCGCCGCGGTAGTCAAGACTAAATCAGGTGGCCGAGGGAAGGGCCAACCTAGGAGTCAAGGAAAGGCCGCCTCCAATCAGACCAAGCAGGCTGAATGGGTGAAGGCAGGTCTTGACCAAGACGTGTGGCGTGACCGCCGAGTGCGTGGCGCTTGTATCAATTGCGGGGAATACGGACACTCGCAATACAAGTGCCAGAACGCAAAGGTTACACAAAAAATACCTCAAAAGATGGGGGCATCTTATTCCCAGGCTTCAAGCTCGGGAAACGCGTGAGGCCAGTGGAAGTTTTAGCGGCTTCTCCTCAAGATGACGTGGGCTTGATACCCTCACCACTTCATGACAAGGCTGAAGCTAATGACTCCTTAGCCACCCCGCAGACACATCTAGACCAAACTATGCTCTGTACGTTAGATGTGTCTGAGGCCTTAGAAGACTTAGAAGGTGAGTGGTCAAACAAGGACCCTCGCGAGTCTTGGGTGGCACTGAAGAAAGGTCCTAGAGGGGAACATTTCGTGGTGGAAGTGGATGTAGGAGGCCGCAAATGTGGTGCCTTCATAGACATCGGATCCACACGGAATTACATAAGTCGCGACTGTTTGGAAAGGCTGCACCTACAGGACCGGGTACGGCAGACCTGTAGCGTCTACTTTGGCCAACAAGGAGCGCATGATCGTAACAGACTACATCAAGGACGTGGTCTGTACCTTCTCCTATGGAGGAGGCGAACTTAACCATAAGATCTCGTTCTTGGTTAGCGACGATTTACCATTCGACATGTTATTAGGCATGTACTACCTCGAAGTTGCTAAGCCCCAGTTTGACTGGGATAAGAAGGTGCTCAAGCATAAGTTGCCCGATGGCCGAACTATCAGATTGACTAAGTTCAAGGCCAGTAGCATTATAGATACCTATGGCTGCTTGTGCGCATCAGCGTTCTACAATTATTACAAGCAAAACGAAGAGGAGGTTATGTACCTTGTGTATGTCTCTGAGAAAGTGGAGGCCGTTAAAACACCCCCAGAGATAGAACGCGTCGTTGCTAAGTTCCCTGATCTGTTCGAGGAGCCCACAGAAGTTGTTGAAAGGGAAGTCGTCCACGCTATAGAAATCATTCCAGGGAGTAAGACCCCAAAGGGAAGGATCTATAAGATGGCCCCCGCCGAGTTAGATGAACTTCGGCGACAGCTTAAGGAGCAGACAGAGAAGGGATGGATCCGGCCTAGTACTTCCCCTTACGGATCACCCGTTCTATTCGTACCGAAAAAGGGGGGTACTTTGAGGATGTGCATTGACTATAGAGGCCTCAATGCCATCACAATGAAAAACGCAGAGCCTCTACCTCGCATAGACGACCTATTGGATAGGGTGCAGATGCAAGTACTATAGCAAGATAGACTTGAAATCCGGCTATCATCAGATTGCTATAAGGCCAGAGGACCAACACAAGACAACTTTTCAGACTCGTTATGGTCTGTATGAGTTTGTAGTGATGCCTTTTGGTCTTTGTAACGCGCCGGGAACATTCCAGCACGCTATGAATCGGATCTTCCATGACCATTTAAATAAGTTTGTCGTGGTCTACTTAGACGACATTCTGATCTTTAGTAAGTCTGCCGAGGAGCACGCACAACATGTTGAGAACGTACTCTCACTCCTGCGACAACACAAGTATAAACTTAGAGAAGTGCGAGTTTGGCCGCACTAAGATACTATACTTGGGTCATGAAGTATCCGCGGAGGGGATAAGGCCGGAAGATGCGAAGGTGGCTAGTATTCGAGACTGGCCACGACCTCAGACAGTCACTGAGGTCAGATCATTCTTAGGAATGTGTGGCTACTATAGAAACTTCGTAAATAACTATTCTATAGTCGCCTCTCCTTTGACTGATCTAACTCGACTTGACACACCGTGGGACTGGAGTGATGAGTGCGAGGGTGATTTCAAGAGATTGAAGCATGCACTCATGAATCATGAGGTCCTCATGGTTCCCGATCTTCAGAAGCCATTCATAGTGACCACTTACGCAAGCCAATACGACATTGGCGCAGTGCTAGCTCAACAGGATGGGAAAAAGTTGAGACCGATCGAGTACATGAGTAAGAAGATGCCATCAAAGAAGTTGGCAAAATCCACCTACGAAAGGGAACTCTATGCTCTGTATAAAGCACTTGTCCATTGGAGACACTTCCTATTGGGAAGGTTCTTCTATTTGAGGACTGATCATCAGACCCTCAAATGGATCAAGACTCAACCGGCTCTTTTTGACGCACTCAAGCGATGGATTGAGGTCATAGACCAATATGACTTCAAGCTTGAGTACTTAAAGGGAGAGTACAACAAGGTTGCRGATGCGCTATCCCGTAGAGCAGACTACCTAGGTGCGCTAGTTTCTGACTTTGGCGTATCTGACGAAGTAACTCAATCATTGGTGGGAGCCTATCAGGAAGACCCTGTCACGATGGACATCATGCACAAACTTCAGGCAAAAGACAAGGCCACGGAAAGTGAGTTTGTGATGGTGGACGGGTTACTCTATCTTGATAAGGCAGGAATAAAAAGGTTAATAGTTCCATCTAGTGAACGTTTGTGCAGTTTATTTTTAGGTGAATGTCATGACGCAACCAGACACTTTGGCTACAAGAAGACGAATGCTAACTTAGTACAACGATTTTGGTGGCCTGGTATGTTGGATGACGCGAAGAAGTATGTAGAGACCTGTCAGGTCTGTCAGCGGGACAAGCCACGAACTCAAGCACCGCTTGGGTTGTTGAAGCCTTTGCCTATCCCTGCTGGTCCAGGACAGAGTGTCTCCATGGATTTCATGGACACTCTAGTGAGTAGTAAGAGTGGCAAGAGGCACATCTTTGTCATCATCGACCGATTCACCAAGTACGCTAGACTAGTGGCTATGGCAGAGACCGCAAGAACTGACTACGTCATCAAGTTGTTCAAAGACAACTGGGTGCGTGACTTTGGTTTACCAAAGTCAATCGTTAGTGACCGAGATGTCCGATTCACAAGTGAGTTGTGGAAGAAGACTCCAGAACAGATGGGCAGTCAACTTCAAATGACTTCAGGGAATCATCCCGAAGCCAACGGACAAGCCGAACAAATGAACAGAGTTGTACAACACTTGCTGAGGCATTACATCAAGCCCAGCCAAGATGATTGGGATGAGCAGTTGCCTCTCATCGCCAGCCTGTACAACAATGCTATCCATAGCAGTAGCGACGTTAGTCCTAATCAGCTGCACTTGGGATGGAAGCCTAGATCAGCACTAGACTTCCTCCTACCTGAAAACCGACCCGCTGCAACTCCAAGCACACTAGAGAATGGTGTGCAGTATGAGAAGTTGTTGCAAGAGGTTGTCGAGCATATGAAGAAAGCTCAGCAAGCAATGATTGCTTCTGAGAATCAACATCGTAGACAGTCCACATTTTACGTAGGGGAACGAGTCTGGGGCAAGGCTAGTGAGTTAGGACAGGAGTTCGGAATCTTTCGCAAACTAATGCCCCAGTACTTTGGTCCCTGGGAAGTCCTGGATATAGTGGGAGATGAGATGGATGGTCCCACATATGTCATTCGTGTCCCTGGACACCTACGCACTCACCCAGTCTTTCATGCCTCAAAGCTTGCACCTTTCTCTGAGACAGATCAATTCCCTTCCAGGAGATCGATGCTGCCCCCAACCATGGATGGACAAGTGGATCACAGGGATATGCCTGTTCCGAAGCCGCTGGGTCGAGGAAGACCTCCTAAACCCAAGAGAGAGTACCGTGTCAGATTCAGGCATCATACGGATCCGAAAGAAGATCGGTGGTTTACCAGGGAGGAACTGATTGAGACAGCTCCTCAGGTGGTGGCAGAATATGAGAGACTACTGAAAGGGAAGGCACCTGCAAAGTAAGCATCTCAGCGGACTTTCGAAGCTAAGGGGGATGGAATGTAAGGATTGAGCCCTCAAGTAGGGGCCTTGCCATGATGTACATGTTCTGGGCTAAGGCCCCAGCAAGCCTCGTGCCCGCCCTAAGTGAAGGCGGGCCAGCAAATCAACAAGAGCCCTTTGTGCCAACATTTCACGAAGTGGGGTCCATACAGTTGCAGCACGCCAGTTGGTTGGAGTGCACCGAGTCTCGGATTTCAGCAAATGCTGAAAACCCAGGGCCTCTGAGTTA